TAAGTGATCACTACATTGATCCAGTCTCCTCTCTCTCCTCTCTACAGAGAGCCCATTACTGGCCATATTAGAGTTCTTGGAAACTCTTGTTAACAGTTTGTAGCATTTCTAATGTTACATCCCAATTATTTAATATGTTCCAAAAGGATGACTAGGGCTTGGATATTTCCCCCAGTGTCAGAATCATGTGCAAGGAAATGATGCAACAAGCCGAACAGATACTTTAGTGTATGTGCACTAGTGACTGACCGCAAACCATGCCACTTCTCTGTTCTGGAGAATTTATATTCAGAGCTGAGTCGTATACATTTGGATTGTGTAGTAAAGCTAATATGACAGCTCTGTCCATTTTGGATTTCCAGGTTCTCCATTCTCTCAAAAATGAACATTGTCAGTGGTACAGTTTGAAGGTTCATCAGACTGATTGCAGCAATAATATAATAAATTTGTCTGAATTGTTGCTGTTATAAATGCATGTGTGATCAGGCTCTTGCACTTTAACAGAACTGTGCCTGCCAAGAATTCACAGACCCCTCAGCTTTGTTTTTAGTGAAAAAGATATCTGGCTGGAACGTCATTGGCTTGGTAGACTTTCTTCATCAGTCAGTTGGTTGCTTTGAAGCTTGGTAGCGTAGAATAAACTCGGTTGAGCTCACGAGTAGTGAGCGGCAACCCACAGATTTAGATGTGGGTGTTCAGACTCAGTGAGATCAGCAGCACTAACACAAAGGTATTTGATTCAGTGTCAGAAGCGCTACCTAATGAAGCTGCATTATGCTGTAGAAGTGTTAATTTTTCAAAAACGTCATCAGGTTTTGTCTCATTTCTGCCTTCATCACTAGTTAATACATCATTGAACACTCCTCTCTGTGTCTGTCTCTTCCTCCTAGGTTCGCCGTCATCGCCTCGGGCTGTGCCAGCTGTCCCAGGTTGGTCTGTCGCAGAGAAGGCTGCGGTGCTGAGTTTTGCTACCACTGCAAACAGGCCTGGCATCCCAACCAGACTTGCGACTCGGCCCGTCAGCAGAGGGCGCAGTCTCTGCACACCCACAGCAACCACTCACCCAGCTACACACAGGAGCAGGGACCTGGTAAGTACCTGGAGGACGCACACACCTGTCAGCCTCCCTGGAGAGAGACCGGTTCGAACATCAGACACCACAGCTCGACACGCACATTGTGCAGATGTGTGTGCACTTGGTGTAGACAGACAGACAGACAGACCCCCCTACCCCCCACCCCAGCGTTTTTGATCTCAAAATATTTTTCACACTTTGAGATCTCATTCTCTCTCTGCCTCTGTCAATCAGTCTTGACCACATGTCCGTTTCCTCAGTCTGTCAGAGCGCTGAGTCAAACTTCTCTCGTGGTGTTGTGGGCACTGCCCAGCCTTTCCACCACTGGGGGAAGTGTTCGGCGTTCAGTCAAACATCAGACACTATTTATATCCCAGTTTCTCCTCTGACTGCAGCATCTTGCATCCTGTTGCTGTTTCACAGTATTTCTCAGTCTGAGTTCAGTCCGACCACAGAAAATGTTATTTCACAATATTTCTCAGTCTGAGTTCAGTCCGACCACAGAAAATGTTATGAGGAGCATTTGTATAATGCGCACAGACAGTATGTTTTGTTTTTTTGTTGTTGTTGGTTTTGAACTGGGAACGAGTTGAAGATGATCAGTTTGCTTCTTCCAGCTCTTATTTAAACTTTTTTAAAACATTAAAAACTTGAAAAAAACTGTTTCTAAACAGTTCAGTTTCACAAAATCAGGTATCTCCTTGCAGGGCTTTACTGGGCTCAACAACAAAATAAGGCAGTGTATTATTAAATGCAGGTGAACTTATCTGTACTTCTGGAATAGAAATATTTTTAAAACAGAGAATTGTCACATTTGTCAACATTTTGCTTGGGCATAAGGCTACACTATATTTATTTATATCATCCTTTAAAGGAATAGTGTGAGACCTGGGTAAACACACAACTTAGATGCAAAGATTTAGATGAGAAGACAGTTGACCCTCTCGTATCTGACTGCTAAAATGGAAGCTGTAACCAGGAGACAGTTAGCTTAGCTTAGCACAAAGACGGGAAGCAGGTGGAAAGAGCTGGCCTAGTTCTGTCCACAGGTATTGTCATTTTTACTCTTCAGTTTTTCTGCTAAATAAACATGTTACTTAATGAACTTAAGACATGTTAGTAACAAGGACCAAAAAAACCAAACAACATATTTCCAAAAATGTTGATAGCAGTGGTGATAGATACAATCATAACACGCCACAAACATCCTTATGTGTGTTTTAAGTAAATCCCTTCTCTCTCACTCTCTCTCACCTTAATTCACCACTTCCAATCTGCCACTTACTGCCAAGTATTCAGACGAGCTGACAACAACCCAGAAGGCCAGAATTGACTCATAAAAAATCTAGGTTGCTCCCTCTGTCCGTTCATACATGCTGCTTAGTCAGCTGGATACAGAATGATGTACAGAGACAGAGAAAAGAAGAGATGGGAGAGCTGGAGATATAAGAAAAGCAATAACAAGAGCAGGAGAAACAAAGGAGCAATGGAAAAAAGAAAGAAGAGGAAGAAAGAGTGGGCGAAGCAGAGACAAGAGTACACAAACAATAACTACTCCTACACACACAGTGTGCTTTTCAAGAGTCTCTTCAAGTTAAAATGCCAAAATATCATTTAAGCAGCAGGGAATGTTCCTAGTATCCAGAAATCAAACGCACAGTAAATTGACTTTTGGCTTGTTCCCTTAAAATGCATTAGTGGACAAAGTGCTGCGATTGTTTAATCCATTACTCTAATGAAGTTTGATCTGGTTGCCAACAGAACAGAAAATGGTTCAATTGGACAGTTGTGAAGTGCTTTTCCCTTACACTTGAACTATTTTAACATTTTTGGGCTAAATTTTAGACATTAGAGGCCTTTTTTTGTCCAAGATTTCATATATTTTAAAGCAGTTGTGTAATATTTTCCCAAAATGTCGATAGGCTCTATTCCTTTAATGCCTCAACTTTTTAACCAGATGCACAAGCCCAAAAAAAAGGAAAATATTCTTGATATCAGAGCTGTCACTGAATACCGAATCTGTTTCCAGCTGATGATATCAAGCCCTGCCCTCGCTGTGGCGCCTACATCATCAAGATGAATGATGGGAGCTGCAATCACATGACCTGCGCCGTCTGTGGCTGCGAGTTCTGCTGGCTTTGCATGAAGGAGATCTCTGACCTGCACTACCTCAGGTAGGAAAAGATCTCATTTCACTGTTTATGTCAACTCTACAGTAGAAATACAGTAGATTCGAGTCTAGTCTTATTAGATATAAGTGCTGCATTTGACAAGGTTGAACTACCAGGCATAGACTGGAAACCTGGGCTGGGCTCTCAGGTACAGTACTGCAGTGGCTTAAGTCCCATTTAGAGAACAGAAACTATTTCATTTCATTTGGTAATAATCTGAGAGGATCCACGTTTTATGTGGGGTTCCCCAAGGCTCAATAGGTGGCCCTCTTCTGTTCAACACTTACCTGCTCCCACTGGGCCACATCATAAAAAACATCAGCTCTCATAATTATGCAGATAACTTGACTTTGTTCTGTCGCCAAATGTAGTGTGTGTGCAGGACAAGAGAACAATGAAACAACTGGACAGCCCTGATCTTTCAGAACTGAGCTGTATGTTCAAAATGAGTTAGCCCAGTGTCTGAATCGCGCCATACAGATAAATGTGCCTTGCCTTTCAAGTGTGTAAATCTAAACCTTAACTCTCACCTTATTCACTTTTTGTGTTCTTCCTTTATCTTTCACTTTCCATTTTCCCTTCTCCCCTCCTCCCATCTTTTTTGTCTGATGTCCTTCTCTTCTCCCTCCCTCCCTCCCTTCCTCTGTGTTTCCCTCCATCAGTCCATCTGGCTGCACATTCTGGGGGAAGAAGCCTTGGAGCAGTAAGAAGAAGATTTTGTGGCAGCTGGGAACTCTGATCGGAGCTCCAGTCGGCATCACCCTCATCGCAGGCATCGCCATTCCCGCCATGGTCATTGGCATCCCTGTTTACGTTGGCCGCAAGGTGAGAAACCTGCAGGGAATGCAACAGTGCAGGAAGAAGCTTCATTACCTCAGCAGCAGAAGAGTGCATGTTTGTTGTTTAAATTATCACTTGAGAGAAAGCTGAGCTTTCATCAAGATCAAGATCTGCTACAGTTTTTTTTCTTTGCTTTTCAATTTGCTTTAAACGGCTCAATAACTTTTTCATTATGTTGACTCTGATTTTGTCCTTTTTCTTCTGGTTAGTTTGAATTATTTATGAAACCGGCTTAAGTCGGGCTTTTTTATGTGAGAGTGATTTCATCTTGTAGATATTTTCTGTTTTTTTTATTGTTTTATGATTGTAAAATGAATACATCTGAGTTTTGTACTTTTGTTCAGACAAAACGGGAAACTTGCAAAAGGAATTTTTCATTGTTTGCATAGAAAATCAGTGAATAAAATAAGTAATTTAAGCTAATATATAATCTTTAAAGTATATAGATGCAAGTTGTATACTTTTAAGTTTCACTATGTTGTTCCTTATTTATATATATAACATAATATAATGTAGGGTTTAAGGTTTAGTACTGAGCTTTAATTTTTAGCCACAATATTAGTAAGAAGCACTTTCAGTCTAAATCCTGGATGGTTCACAAAGTTGACAAAAGGAAATGGTAATCTACAGAGAGATGTGAGGGGGACTTTTTGAGAGGAAGTGATTATGTGTAGTGAGAAATGAATGTTTCCCACTGCTCGTAGCTGACTGACATGTTTCACAGTGAGCAATGCGTTTTTGTAAAAATCTTCATGCTCAGTTCACTTTTCCTTCATCTTTGTCCAGACTGCTACAGAAACCAGAACTGGAAAACCACGGAGTTTTGGCAACTGACAAATAGTTTACAATGTGGCCACAGTCACTCTTTCGCAATCTTCCTGTGGTTTTCTCGGGATTTTACAGCATTGCAGAACAAAAAAAAATTTTTTGTTGTATGTTGCCCTCATTTTTAACACAATGTTAAGTTTTCTAGACGTGAGAGAAAGTATTTTTATTTCCTTCGAGTACCAATAGACAGTTTTCATTCACACTGAGAATCACACTGACCTAAACACCAACAGCACATTCTGTAGAGCATCAGACTGTTTTTAAAGTCAAGATATGAAAAGTGTCAGAAATTATTTAAGGCCATAAGTTAATAAAACTTCATTAAATGCTATTAAGTATGTTCAAAATGTTTATTTTGTGCTTTATGTTGATGACAGACCCTTTAGAGTCAGTGATATTTAACTGAGGTAGCGTTTGAGTTTAAAGCTGAAGTCTAATATTTATATACTTTAGCACTCTCTCATGGACGAACATAAAATTACACGTGAAAACCAGGCACAGTGAGAAGAGAGAAAGAGCCGTACTGAAGGAAATCGTCCCTCAGTGACACAGGGATGATCTCTGTGTTAAAACTCACCAGGCGGCTGATGTTCCCAGAGCAGTAGCCAGCCTTTGACCTTCACCCCACCCCCTGGGAAGCCTTTGTGAAATCTGTTAAACCGTGTCCTTCCCTCTCCTCTGCCGCAGATCCACGCCCGCTACAAGCTGAGGATGCCTCGCCACAGAAGGAACCTGGCCATCACAGGGGGAGTGGCCCTGTCAATCATCACCGCTCCTGTCATTGCAGCTGTCAGCGTGGGTAAGAAACCCAACAAGAGCGTCATTTATTATTCACAACAGATCTCTCAGGCTGGCAGCCAGAACAAAGCAGGGGCAGGTTGTTTATGAGTGTGAAGACACACTACTGCTCGTCACCTCCATGCAAAATGAAAAATGCTATTTTTGGATGGCGGCATCATGATTTAATACAACGAATGACACTGAAAACCCAATAAAATATGATGCGTCTCAGTGATGCAGACTTAGATAAGGAGAATGTGTCTGGAAACACTCTAAATCAGCTTTTTACCCTTCAGGCTTTTTATTGCTCCTTTTGTCTTTCTAGAGCAGAAATTCAAACAAGTTGTGCAATAACACAATGAATCAGCATCTTTTCTACACTTCCTTCTGAAGCTCAAAACACAAAGTTAGAAGTTAGAAGTTCACATTCAGTTTGGCCAGTGGTGGGTGAAACCTACTATATCAGTATTTTTGTTTGTGTCCCTTCTCAGGCATTGGTGTGCCCATCATGTTGGCCTATGTGTACGGCGTGGTGCCCATTTCTCTGTGCCGAGGAGGAGGTTGTGGTGTCAGCAGAGGGAAGGGCCGAGGCGTCCGAATCGACTTTGATGAGGACGATGGACCAATCACAGGTGAGGACACTGAACTGATAATAACATTTCCTGCAGAGTGGAGGCCCAGGATATCGCCCCTGAATCTTCACATTTCTTTCTGACATGCACTAAAAACAGATTTTCTGTTTCCTGCAGTGGCGGACGCGTGGCGAGCCCTCAAGTCACCGAGCCTTGGCGAGAGCAGTCTGGACGGGGCGGTCAGCGGTCTGAGCACCACCTCCCCCAGTGAGGGGCTCTCAGTGGCCCCTGTGACTCTGGGTGACACACCGCACTTCAACACCTTGGCAGGAGGGGCCCTGGGGACCCGCACTGGCAAATACAGCAGGTGAGGAACAGGGATGAAGGTAATGAGTTCAAGAATAGCAGTGCTGGCATCCTAATGAACCAGACTGACACTGTTATTCATTAGAAATGCCTTTTGAACTGCTCCATACTGAGATATTTTTATTTATTTCAAGACAGGCGGTATTATGGATCCTGATAAACTAAACCATAAAATGTATTTTTTCTTATGAATGTCTTTAAAGTTTATTATCACACTTAGAGCGACTTAAAGATAGTTTCTTTTGGTAAATCTTTATTAATTTAGGCCTAAAATCAATTTTAGTTGTGCATCAATTTGCAAATATATTTGACTGGGTTTTGAGAAATCCTTTGAGCTACGGGACACAAACAAACAGGAGCACAGCTGTGCAGATCATCAGGGGATGAAGCACGTCTCCTTATTAAGCTGGAGGCCTGAAAACAGCTTTTGTTCCTACATATGGACTTGCAGTGAATGATTATGTGAACCCTGGGCAAAGATCTATTGCAGCTTTTTAAGAAGCTCTTACACAACCAGAGCTTCTGTTGCACTGTGGCTGCATATAAACCATCTAAAGACATCAATCTGGTCAAGAGGCAGGACCAGAAATAAGCAGTAAGCTGAAAAGGGCACAAGTTTAGAATCCACTTCTCATGGTCCATATATGGTCAGAGCATGTACTTCTACACAGAAAACTCTGGAGGAAGATTAAATATAATGTATCTGCAAATGTATACATAGATTGTAAAAAGTGTTGATAGAACAGTGTAAGTGATGATTATGAGTGTTCCTGTAGGCTGGAGGTTCAAGCCGGGGAGTTGGCTAAAGAATCAGCCCAGAGGGACACGGGCAGCCTGGGAGCGGGGAGTGACTGTGCCAGCACCCGAGGAATGGCCGGATCGATCATCTCCTCCTACACACTACCTGACAGGTGAGAGACGACACTTCTGTCTTCTTCTGTAGTATCTTTGATCTCTCTCTCTCTCTCTGGATTTTCACCTTTCTTATTGTGTCGTGCGTTTGTTTTTCTAGTTGTGCTATTTCCCTCCCGCCCCCTCCAGCTGTCAGGCTGTGGACCCCTCTGCTCCATCAGATTAGATTTGGATGTGGTGTGGTTGAGATAACAGAATTAAACCTGATGTGAAGACTTGATCTCATGTTATCTCTTCTCTAATGATGCCTAAAGCTGTGTAAATCACTCTATTATTATAGTTTTACTTACTTTTTCTGAACTGCTAAAACATTAAACCCTGATCTCAGAACAAAACAGCTGCCAAAACTCATTTACGGTAAGGATCACTCTCTTTGCAAAACTTGAAAAAATAGCCACCTACCGTAGTTACATAGTAGTTTTCAGATTCCAATCAACCTTTTTTCCAAAGCTCTACACACGTTCTCACTTAGTGAAACACATTTTGCGCAGTGATGCACTTGTGATGCCTAATGGTAACCACAGGCTGCAGAGGTTAAACACAGCTACACTACAGCTATTGTTGCTTACACGCTGTGACTCAAAACTGTTCACACTTGTTGCTAATGATGTGATGGAACCGAAATAAGCTGTGAACTCACAGGCAGCATGAGTGAGCTGAAGGTTGGTACCAGCGTTAGATGGAAACAATCTGAGAGGCAGAGAAGGAAGAGTGCATGTAAGAGGAGGAGGAGGAGGAGGAGGTCAGGGAGAAGGTTGCCTGAGTCCTCTGGTCTGATTCAGCACAAAGATGTGATGCTGAGGTCAAGTGAATCACTTGTTGATGTTGATTTTACAGTTGCTGAACATTTACACAGTGTCCTTGTCATTTACATTTTGTATTTGTCCATTGGTGTGCTGAATCCACAGACATTCAAAACTATGTTGCTTTCAGTATTTACAGTATGCAGTACAAAGTTGTTAATTTACTTTTTATTTATTTAAATGCATTTACTTATAAACAGTAAACCTGTTTTGGGAGCCATTTGCCCTGAACACCGTGTTTTCCATCTTAGGATTGTTTTGGGAGCCATTTGCCCTGAACACTGTGTTTTCCATCTTAGGATGACGCTCAGTACAGTTTTTATGTTGATGATATGCAAACGTTGACTTTAAGCAGAGGTAAAACTGTTTTGAGTTGATTGTTTGATTTTGCAAGAAGAGGCTGAGGTTTTGCAAATTTGTATTTGTATTTTGAAAAATAGGTTTTGTGTTTACAGTTCTGAAAAATGGATAGAATGTTTCAAGAAATGTCTTAGCAATTATGAAAAACTAATATTTATGCATAATCCAAACTCGTTTCAAACATTTGACATATACCATTGTTACAAAAGTGGCTGCAAACTGAGTTCCTTATCTGTGTGTACCTTAATCTATTCAGGGTCTCTGCGTGACCAGTGAAGAGGCCCTGCCCCCTCCCCGGGGTTCTGCTGCCATGGCTGCCGCCTCAGGAGGAGAGGAGCCTGAAGACTGCAGCTCCAGACGGGGTGGGACTTTGTCTGGCTCAGTGTTGGGACTGTCCCCGGGTGTGTCAATCAGGGAGGGGCTCAGAGACGTCACCTTGGCTCAGCCAGAGAGCATCCGCAGTGACCTGGAGATGTCGGACACTCAGTCAGACGACATCGCTGAGCTCACATCTGATGATTGTGACTCACCTCACCCGAAAAGCTGTCACCTGGCGGCCGGCCAGCCACCACAGCCCCCCTCCTGCCGAGCCCTGAACCCCTCCACAGAAGGCCTTCGCTGTCCCGCAGACAGCAACGTCATTCTCTATGTCTGAGAAAAGAGCAGCTCTAAGGATTGCACAACAAACTAGCCAATCCCACAACATTTACATCCAAACTCTCCCTTCATAGCTTTTTATCTGCTCTCATTTCTCATTTGCTGCTTTTGCGACTCACAGCCACCTTCGTAAACACAGACAGCATTTGTTTTACTTTTTCCTGTCTGTCTTATCTCTGGACCTGTCAATCTCCTCACTGAGTAAATTGTCAGGGTTCTACCTCTGAGATTTATAAGATGATGGTTTACGTTTACTCCTTGGTGCAAAATGCCTTGGCTACTTAAGCAAAAAAGAAAAACAAAAAAAAAATACAAAAGGTACAAAATCTCCACAAGAAATATTGCAAAACCGAAATTATAAAGCAAGGTGAAATGTCACCAAGCACAGCAGAGGGAGCTGAGGACGAAGGTGATGTTTACAGCATCATGTGAATGAACGTGGCTTTATTTTTCTTTTCTTTACTTTTCCTGTATTTATATTCACATGACCTTGAAATTATATTATTTGCTGTGTGTGTCTGCATGAGCAACGCCTTGAGTGGAAGGTGTGAAGTGGCAGCAAGCTTCTGTTACACTGGTGAAAGTTAAAGGATGAAGTTGCACTTGAATCTTGCTATCCCTGCTCAGAGGAGGGGGAGGAAGAAGAGGAGGAGGAGGTCTGGGAGGGAGACAAAAAAAAGTCCTGGCTCACTGAATTACAGAAATGAATGAGTTCTGACAATGACACATTGAGGCCAGAAGACACTGCAGCGAAATGCACTAAGAGACGACACTTTATTCTAGTTTGTTCTGGTATAGTGTGTGTGACAGTGTAGGACCTCTCTCTGAACAGTTTAGTACACTTTTGCACTGAGATTTACACAAAATAAGTGTCTATCATTTCAAAATTAACCAATATAAACTTGTATAAATATAATAATAAACTCAAAAATGCAGAAAGACCTTCTGGTCTTCTAAACTTTTAGCTGTGCTACGGTGATGTACAGTAAAACACATTGACACATACTTGAAACAGTTTTGTAGAAACTACATGAATGTGGACAGAGACACGAGTCACATTCTGGCAGCTTGATCTGTCTTCATACTAAAATTTCTCAATCTGAGGTTGCACATATTAAAACAGCAATGCAGCTTCAACTTAGGTTCAAATGTATTTACTCAAAACTATGTTATCATGTTACAGAGTACAAACGACAATGGTGTGACAGTGGCACTTTATAAAACGCAACTGACAACAGTAAAATTGTCCTTGAAAATGCACCTGATTTACATGTAGCTTTTACATTGTGTGAATATAATAAGAAATAACCACCATTGTTCACTATGCAGGGTTTTTTTTTCCAAGTACACTGTGGTAGCCAGCTCCTAGTCAGGTGCCATTACATTTGTTTGTTTGAGTCAACAGTGACTAAACAGTTATTTTTTGATCAATTGATTAGTGACTTTGGAAACAGTATTTTGACAAAAAAAAAAAAAAGAAATTCCAACTCGAGGTCCACTTACTAACATGTTTTTGGAACGCTGAACCACATCTCAGTCTTCCTCAGTGGGTGAGAGCTCAAGTAGGCAAACTTTGCTGAGGAAGACATTAAGATGTGGTTAAACCCTCTTGCAATAGCTATGGAGTGGACCTTAAATTAATTTCAATTAAAATGTTTTGTGCTGTTTTCATTATTGATTAGCTTGCCTGTCATCTTGTCTGTTGACCAGTAACAGATCTTGCTAGAAAATGCTCACAATAATTCTTGCAACATTCCAAAATTCAAAGACAATCAATTTAGCATCATATATGTCAAACAGCAACATTGATAAAGCTGGAACCAGAGGACTTTGGGGTTTGATTATTTAAAAAAGCTGATTACTTTTCTAGTGTCAACTAACTGTTTTGGCTGTAAAGTGGTCCCTGAATCTCTGAATGAACACTCGTCCACTGGAGAGTGAACATGACGCCTCCACCCCAGACTGGCTGCCAAACCCAACGCTCTGCACACATGCTGTGACCCGTGCTCTTGCTATTTGCTTCAGGTGTGTCATGTGACCAGGTCAGTGTGTGTGACCACCTGGCTGCACTCGCTGGCCAACACACCTACATGTTACTGTAACTGGCTGTCTGACCCACTTCTTGAATGTGTGTCTATGATGATGTATGTGAATGTCGCACTTTGTTTTTGACTGAGCACTTGTGCACTTTATCTGATTTGTTTTATTTTTTTGCTTTGCTTTTCACCATCTATTGCTGTAAGTTTATTTTAGCTGCATACAAAAGTTTCTGGTACAACCAAAAGAAATTACCTTTTATGTTGGATGGAACTAAAGACAAGTTCGGCTCCAGAACTTTAAGAAAAGTTTATCATCCAGTATTTTTTACTTAACGAGCATTCTAGTTTTTTTTTCTTTTAATCAATTTAGTGATCCAAGGACTAGAGCTTATTTTTTAAATCTTCTTTTATTCATTTATTTTGTGTTAATTATCAGTCTGTCACTTTTGGATGTCTCGTTCTGGGAGCCAAACTCTTCAGCTATTGATGCCAATAAGCTCTTCTTATTCACACTCACTAACCTGACTTGCGTCTTAACTTGTTTCACTTCTGTGCTTCTGTTTAAAAAGAGGTTTCTACCAGGTTTTCCTTTGTTCATCTTGGAGTAGCTTTATGGATTTAGCTGCTTGTATAACCCACCTGTGCTTTGTTTGGTCTGCCCTCATCACTTGTTTCTGCCTGTGGGAAAACAAGCGAATGTACCACGGACAGAAAACCGAACTTCCTGAAAGCCAGATTGAGTGTTATTGGAAATGTCTTCTTAAGAATAGAGGTGTATTTGAAAAGGTTTTACAGTACATAGATAGCAATATTTAAGTCTTACTATACTGTTTGTGTATTTCCTGTTACTGTTGATGCTCTGCCCTGGGTGGGGCTTGTACATGCAGGACTGTGAAAGGCAACTTGTGGACCTGTGGGGAAAAATAAACATAATCTGATGTTGCACCAAACCAGTGAGTTGTTGTCACTTATACTTGGAGAAAAAAAAAATGCAAAGTTGTGTTTTAGAAACATAGTTTTGTCCATTGCATTGTGACAGAAATCACTGGTGAAATATTCTAGTCTTTACCAAGCAATGTGACAGAGGAGTCATAAATACACAAAATTATCAAGAGCAATAGGAAAAATATTACATTTCCATGGATACTTTTCATAGAGGATGTTTAAATTTGTCAAACACAGGTGTAGCTAATAACATCATTACCTGGTGAGAGAGGATTAACACCATTTGTTCCACCTGTGTTTGTGAAAAGTCAGCTGTGAAGCTCTATGGAGTTTGGGAACCACTGTTTTTGTCAGTTTGAGTTGTTTTCAGTACAGAGGTTAAAAATCACAACATGTAGTGTGTAGTATTTTTGAATCCTTGATATAAGGTGTGTTGATAATTAAGACAAAGATATGCGTTTGGCTTCGGAAATATCCGGTAAGAATCAGTCTTTAGCTTTCAAGTGTGTTGCTGCATGAACTTTCAAGGGTAGTTAACATTGGCTGTACCTTTTCCACCTTTGGTGTTAAATGTGATGTACATAAAATGCATCTAATTATAATAAAATATAATCAAATAATGTAAAATGAACTGTTTTTTATAATGAGTACCTTTTTACTTTGTGTAATTTTACCTTGTTTTCCTTTTCTTTAGTTTGTGTCTTTACATTTTGTGTCTTATTTTTATAAGTTTTAGAAGTGAAGCACTTTGAGCACCCTTGGGTGTTGTAAAGTGCTATATAAACAAATTCAATTAATTTTGTAACTTTAAGTAGGGTATTTTTATTCATATTTTTTGTACTTGGGCCAAGTTGCATTTTAGTGTTTTACAGTGTGATATTTCTCCTTTTACTTATGTAAACAGTCCAAGTACTTCTTCCACCACTGTACGCCCTTTTGTTTTGTGACTTTTGTATTTTTATATTATTCCGGTAGGCGGCAGTAATTCATAGTTAAGAAACCGTACAGTCGCGTTTCTTCACAACACAGTCCATCATTTTACGGCTGATCAGAAATCAGCCGTAAAGCACAACGTGTGGAGTCGGAGGAAGATTAACACGGAAACCACAGAGCACGGTAAATACAGCTGTTCAGTGCATGGTGTTGGTGTTATAACAGCACGTTAGAAAAATTTATGTCACAGAACATATTTTTTGCTGAAAATAGCAGTAGTGTGTAAATAATTTTTCACGAGAGCAGCCTGTGTTTAGTATGAACAGGGTGTCATTGAAGGAGGGTCTCAAGATCAGGGGTAGTGCATCTTTCACATACAAAATATAACCTAGTTACAGATTTATATTACTATCATAAATACATTTGTAAATCCCACAGAGAGAGAGAGAATGCTTTTGGTCAGGGTATTTGTACAGTGCAGGTTAGCTAGCTAACCTTAGCTTCCATTCGAAAGCTACTTAGCTACAGTAGCTAGCTAGCTACGGGCATTTAGCTGGCTTTATAATAACAGAAAATGTGGAAAAGTAATTTCTAATCTTATCACAAAATAGTAAAACTTTGTACGATAGGTCTCTTTAGTTACCCTAATATGTTTCAAAAACGAGTGTAAACCTTTTTAAATAAAATACACAAGTGTTTTATATGTAAGCAAAATATGTTTGCTATTTGTATCATGCTCATTAAGTCATCGTAGACATAAGTTTTTGTCTTTGTTGTCCGAGATAACCATTAAAAGTTAACTCTTGTTTTTAGATGTGTCCGGCTCATATTGTGAAATATGAATTTATCGTTTACATTACTCTATGTCTGTGTGAGTGTAGAAAATTGCTAAAGTTCATATGAACAATGATCTAGTCCGATTTGGTGTCAAATGGCAGTCATTTTCTTTTAATTTGTTATTTTTCCTGAAACAAAACGTAGTTGAATTTCACAGGCAAGAACACACAGCAACCAATGGGAGTGGTGGTCCTCATATTTACTAACCTGCTCCAAACACACTGCTTGACTGAGGTGATTTACTCAGTGAAATGTTAACAAAACAGACTAATCTGTCTCTCGTCTTCTCCTTCCTTTATCAGCATCATGCCGTTTGTGGACCTGCAGTCGAGGCTTGGCATCAACGTGGACCGCTGGCTGCTGATTCAGAGTGGAACACAGCCCTACCAACGGCCTGCACGCTGCCACGCCTTTGAGAAAGAGTGGATCGAATGTGCCCATGGCATCGGGCAGACCCGAGCCAAGAAGGAGTGCCAGCTGGAGTTTGAGGACTTCTATGAATGCATGCACAGGGAGAAGATGGTGAGTGTTTTGGTGTGGAGAGAAGTTTCTTGATTATTTTTTTTAGAGGCAGACTGATACATAACTTTAGAGCAATGCCAAATTCACGTTTTTTTTTTAATTTTTAAAATTCACTATTGACATATCAGCCAACATTCATTGTTAACACACATATTTTTGATATGGATCCCCTTTCATTTAGTTATTGACAAGGGCGCAATAACTGTGGTGCATTATTTTAGTCAGTTTCTTTCTATTAGAAATTTATAAGTACAGCCACAAAGTGAAAGATTTTTCAATTTGCTGTTTTTGTATAGCATATGGTGTGATTAATGGGGAGAGAAGAAGAGAAAAACAGCATTTCACAGGCAGGATTAAAAGCGTTTAACATCCCGTGTCTAATAGTCTTAATGTCAGAGTTAAGCAGCCTGGATGGCAGAGTCTGTGTGGCAGCAGAAAAGAGGCTGACAGATGATGGCAGTGAATGTGCTGCAGCAACAGGAACTTCCTCACCTGGATCCAGAAGCCTCGACTTTCTTGTTAGCCTCTTTTTTTCAGATGTGTTGAAGAGGAACCAGGATGAAGTACCGATTTTAAGATGAATGTCGGTAAAGACATTGAGGAACAGACATGAAATTCACTTCTCTTTAAAATGTATAATGCTTTTTAAACAGCTGTATGTAGCATGTTAACATCAGAGTTGCATTACCACAGTGTTTGAGTTACTGTTGTAAATGCACGAGGCCATATCTGAGAAGATTTTTCAATGAGACATTGGATGGAAATCTGCATGTTGCTTTCCAGCAGTGAACTGAGGCAGGGATCTTCTAGCAAACAAATCCAAACCTTTCAGGTTCTCACTTTGACATGTGGTGTCCTCCACAGGACAGGCAAAACGGAAACAAATTATGGGGCTGTAGAACATTACTTCTTCTTGTCTCCCTGTCTCATCACTAACCTCTGCATCTCTTCCTCGTTGAAGATGCGGAGGCTGCAGACGATCCGTCAGCAGCGCGACAAGATGATGAAGGAGGGGACCTACACGCCGCCTCCCCACCACTTGGGCCAGAAGGACTAGCTTCCAAGAAGGAACACACAATTGCTGGCAGTTCTGTTCTGTGTATAGTAAATAAGATGCCACCATTTCCTATTGGCCTGTACATGTTTGCAAATACATGGTATCATCCACCGTCATTGTCCTCGTCTTTTCCTTCCAATTGCTTGACACATTTAAACATTGGCATTATAAAGATATTGTAACCATCCAGGACAGTTTATTTCTTTCCTGTATTTATTAGTCCAGATGTTTTTATGTTTAGCCTAAAATGTCAGCTGCTGATTGGTGAGGCTTTCAATTCAAAACTCTTCAAAGGCCCTGTGTTTGTTGTTTAAAAAGAAAAAAAAAGCCAGTACTTGGAACCAGTCAGCCAGTAGGTGAGGCAACTGGTTTTACTCAACCTCTGATGTAATCACCTCTGATTTAATGTGTTCCTCCAGCTGTGCTAGACTGCAGTGTGTTCAGCTGAGCTCAAGTGGGTTTTCTAAAGTTACTGACCTAATTTTAGTTCATGGTTCAGTGATGATGGTGAGTCAACGCTCCTGAGGGACTACTAGATCACTCTGATGAGAGACAGGTATGAATGGTTACCGGTGCTTAAATCGGGGTCATGGGATGACGAGGCTCTGTGAGCCGCCACAAGGTGGAGCAATGTGCACAGATAATACAGACGTCAGTGTGAGGTCTCCATGTAAAACTGACAAGTTTCTTCATTTTTTGGCTATACAAATGTTTGTATCCCCAGTGGATCCTCAAAGTTAATTTTTAAAGGCTGGTTCTTTTAGACTATCTTAAATTTTCAGGCAGCTGACCAAAGTTATGAAATCAGAATCAGCTTTATCGGCCAGGTGTGTTGGACACACGAGGAATTTGACTCTGGTACAGAGCACATAATTTATTCACCAGGACAACTAGAATAAACAGCATAACCTGAGATAAACTTTATATAAAAAAACCACACTGTATATCAGCTAAATACCCAAAATATGGACTTGAGGCCAAACTGAAAGTGAAGGATGTTTGATGCCGCCCTCGGTGGCAGCTTGGGCTGGTGCTCTGCTCTTGTTCTTAGTTTCTCCTCAGTATCTTTGGCTCATTTCTTGAAGCATCACTATCCATTCTCACAGCGTTTGTCAAAGCATCTTATACAACACAACACTAGTTCATGAGCAAAGGGATACATCTCACCCAAAATGTTTAGTGCATGTTTCAAAGGTACAGTCATCCCTGTCAGAAGGAAATGTTCCATTAGCACTGTGTGAGTCAAAGTTCTCGAGTGCTTAGCTGTTTTCTCAGTAGGATACTAGAGCACTTGTATTAGAATTTCAAGTGAAAATGAAGCTCAAGTTGTGCCTGATGACCAATTTATCTCTTTAATAGAACTTATAGTATATTCAGTTGGCATGGAAAGTGTTCACAAGCCTTTACATTTCACATTTAACTACATTGTACATTTATTTTTAAATGGAAGGAAAATCTTATTTTTACAATGCAGTCAAATGTGCAAAAATAATTGATTTGCTCCTATTTCCGAAGCCAAAATCAATTATTTAATCAAAACACAAACAGTGAATTGGCTGAAAACTGAGAACAAGCTGTTACAAAGAGATGATCTCACAGCAAAATGGAGTAAAGTTCAACAGACACTGATGCACCAGTAATATTAATCCAGAACGTCCAGTATGACAGTAAAACACTGATAGGGTTTATGTTTTCTGCACTACAAGCACTGTCACTTGTTATACTCTTAAATGCATTTTGTTGAATATACTTTTGTAGTTTTACGACGTAAATAAAAGTTTAAATCCAAGGTTTGTACTTATAGCGGTACATTTTTATTTTGTGGTATTGGTACATGTGAGTACTTCATACCGCTGCCTAGGGCCCCAAATCACTGGATCCATTTTAATCAAAGCTCAGCCTTCCAGCGATGTGCTGGTGTGCAATTAAAAGAATTAAACAACAAACAGTTAAACCTGGAGTTGGCACCTTCCATTGAGATTCTGGTTCTTATCCAAGGTCACCCCAGACCGTGAAGTCTTCACTCCTCTCCAGCTCTCAGCTGTAAGGAATCGCTTTTTGAGCTACTCTCCTCCAAACAGCTGGAGGCGAACAGAGGGAGCGTGGAGCGACTGTAAAAACACATACCTTCTCCTGTGATGTGAAAGCGCAGATCAGATCCATCGCTGGTTCTTCTGTGTTCCCGAGCTATGTATGAATGAGAAGCTGCTGCCTATGCCAGTGTGAACGCCCTTTCCTTCCAAAACTCAGAGGAAAGTGTGTGCGTGAATCCCGCGGGGTTTGTCGGCGCAGCTGAGCCACCGATGACGCAGGAATACAACCGAAATTTCAATTTCCGCGACATTTAACGCACTCAATAGACATGGGTTAAGTTTCGGAACCGTGAAGACAGCCTATTGAAGAGCAAGCGAGAGTGTGAAAGCGGAGCAGGAGAGGAGGGCTGGTGGGGGTTGCTCAAGGCGAGAGACACAGGGGGAAAGGACTAGGACAGCCATTACCATTCAGGATCACGTTGCCTGCTTCTCTCCTCAGCCTCATCCCCGGTTGGCTCGGTTTTGGAGGAAGCGTGGCAGCAGAAATCCGACCACTGGGGCGGAAAACATCCAGACTTTCATCCATCCATCCATCCATCCATCCACCCCCCTTTGATCCGGAGTGGAGGGAGCAGCGGCGGAAGCACCCCCGGCCTCCCTCGCTCTGTGCTCGGATTCCAGGACAGCTGCTACCCGGTGAAGGTAAGCGGCTCCGGAGCTCGTGCAGCCTGCTACTTCATACCAACCTGTGCACGCTCCGATCATCACATACATGTATTATTTAAGACCTGTCGAGTCGTGTGATGGTATTAATTGTTAATTTATACGAAAATGATATATTAGGATACCAATGAAATTACCAGCTCCAACCGGAGCGTTACGACCAGTATAAACTCATTTTATGGTCGGTTTAACGCTATTGTTTAATCAGGGATGTGACCTAATCCTAAACCGTGCGTTTTAAAATGAGTATGTTAAGCATCAGGCTCTCGATGCTGGTTCTGCACATGAGCCTTAATAACATGTTGATTCATTAGGTTCATTCATTAGGTTTCAGTATTATAAAACCGTCCTGCTCAGAAGAAATGTGCTTGTGGTGCGTGTGCTGGAGGGCCGGCCAGGAAATAAGCAGCGGGCGGACAGTCAGAGAGGGTTTCTGGGCCGTGAGAAGCTGAGGCTGTTCCCACTAATGAGAGGCTCAGCAGCGCCGGCCACGAACGGATACGTATACTTAGTTGGTGTTATGTGTCCGAGCAGGGTTGGGCAAAGAGCCCCGGGCTTCCAGGATGCTCCTGGGTGCACACAACGTTTTGGCCTCCATGTCTGACGTTCATCCATGCAAACACATTCCCCCTCTTCACGTTCAACGGGAGAGAGGAATGCGCGTAAAACTGGTGACATGAAACACCAGCTGCAGTAATAACACCCACCCCGAAGGGAGGCTGCCTTCACTGATCCGTGCATTCCCTCCAGAGCCCCTCCACCATCATCATCATCATCACCTCCATCTCTACCTGAATGCTCACGGGCTCCATCACTGCAGGCTGCCTGGCTCCTTGTATGTGTGGAAGACCGTGTTACCACGGAAGGTGCAGCCACACGGAGGCAGAGGGCTTCCCCCCTGCAGCTTTGTACCAGATGGTCAAACCTCCCTCTGGGCTTGTGTTGGACCTTCAGCTACCAGCCTACTACTGCATATTCTTCAGTCAAATCTGAGATCATAGTCCGTCTCTCCCACCATTTTCCCTTAACTGGTCAGAGATGGTGCTTTGAAATAGGAGGAACGCACCAATATGTTTGAAATACCGCTGCTGTGGCTCGTTTGTAATTCAGTTAGGAGTCCTTTATTCAAGTAGAATAAAGATGTTGAATTTAAAAGATAATCACTGGCCTGGCATTTCTCACCCCAGACAGTTAATTAATAGTGAATCTGTTTTCATGTATGAACTAATGAGTCAACCAAAGGATTTTCAATGGGCAGTGAAATAAGACAATGACAAAACTTTGTTTTTAAACAGTTTAATCAGGTCAAACATGTCTGAAAAATAAGACTCAAGTGGCTTTTAGGTGAATCTTTTTTCAATAAACAGCTCAAAATCCAGAGACATTCAACTTAAAATAAATTAAAACAGAGAAAAGAAGCACATTCTGAAGCAGCAAGTCTGGGACATTTTTGTCAGTTTTCTCTGACTATTGCTGGGTTTCCAGCCAAGGTCTACTTGTTGTGAGGTTAGTGTGGATATGATAGGATCATTTCAACCAATAAGTACATTTTCTTTCTCAGATTCTTTCATTTGGAGAATTTTTAGAGGCCTGATGAGGTAAAAAGATGAGAAAAGTTACTCATTTACTTTTCAATTAACATGTTTTTGTAACACAAACACACACATATATAATGTTCTCCTGTTTTAATTATCTTGTGGCCCCTCAGATTAGTCTTGGGACCCTGTGTGGGGTTTGACCCTCAGGTTGGGAATCACTGGAATAATTTATTGAGCATTTCCACACTGATTGTTCCTTGACTGGCCCCTCTGTCCTCCTCCTGTCTGCATGTGTGTCTGTGCTGAAAGTCTCTGTTGGTTTGTTCTCACTGCAGTTCGCTGGTATGCACACAGGATAAAATAAAGACAGAAACAGAAAGACGGGTTTGTTTTATGCCCTGTGACTCTGATCTGGCTCTTTGCTCTGCTTTCTCGTTCCATCTCTCTTTATCTTTTGACAGTTTTTCTTTTCACAGTTGCACTCTCACTTTAAAACCTCTCTGCATCCAGTCACACAGAATAGTGAGCTACAGTATTGTTGATGAGCCAGTCTGCTTTCTCTCTGCGTGTTTATATATGCAACTCTTTTTTTGTGTCCATGTATGTGTATAAATTTCTGTGTGTGGGGGGGAGCCGAGTCTAGCCACTCATTTACTCAGTCAGTGTGTTACTCATCATGGCTGGGGCTGCTAATTAAGACCTACTACTGTGTGCGCGCTTGTATTAACTGGTGGAACAAGCCATAAATACGCACCAGTCATGAGTGTGAGATAAAGAACTTTCAGGGATGCTGCTCTGGATCAACACAGAGATATTCACTGGCAGTTATGGCTGTTCTCTACAAGCATCTGGTTTTCTCCTCCTCTGTCCTGCTACCTCAGTCTCTTTTCTCTGTTGCTTAGATTTTTCTCTGCCATTCTCTCTGTGTCTGTTTCCTGCCACTTCTTTTTCCTCTTCTTTAGTTTCAGCGCATTCAGACACACAGGGCTGAGCTGTGGGAGCAGACTGTGTCCATGTAAACCCTGGTTGTGAGTTATGAATCAGGCCAGTCCAGGCATCCAGCCTGATTCAGCCGTTGTGTTCTGTCAAAGGAGGCGGCAGGAGCCAAGATCCCGGCATGTTTATAAAGGATCCCTGTGTGTTTATACGACTTCGTGCACACTTGCTTGCTTATGTGCACTTTTTTTTTTACAATTCTCTGCCATATTTTAGATTCAACGATTCATCAATTAACAATATACAATAGATATTGAAGATAAAAATAATTGTCATAGTGAGTCTGAAAAAAATCCTAAAACCAGATCCCAAAACTAAAACTAGTCTGAGTTTCTAACAGACTAAGAGAAGAATAGTTAAATCTGGGTTGATTATTCAACTAATCAACAGATCGCCAGTAGTTTAAATAATCAGTATTTTTAAAGCATTTTTGAGCAAAAATAAAAATTCACACATTTTTTTATAATTAAAAACCTATATTTGGGTTTAGGACAGCTTTTGGATAAACCCCGCACTTCAAGGACATAAAAATCACCCAGAGGAGCAACAGAAGTTATGATAAGATTTTTTCACTGTTTTCAGACTTCATTTGTTTTTTTAATGAAACTTAAAAAGACTGGTCATTAATGAAAGTAGGTATTACTTGCAGTCCTGATAAAGAGCTGTTAGTGGAATAGTTTGTGTTTGTGATGTGTGACTCAGTCAGAATGCCTCAGTGAGCGTCTCATCAGACAGGAAGTGATCTCACTCTCTCTCACCACTTCTCCGGTGGTTCTGCGGGTGGTGTCTTTTTCTCCAGAGACTCGTTTTGCCCTCGCAGGGCTGTAATGACATGGTGCGGCTTTGAAGCTTCAGTTCTGGCTCTATTTATAAAACCGTTAGCTCCAGTGGCCCTGACTCGCTGTCAGCAAGCAGCAGAGAAACAGAAACAGAAACACCAACAGAAAGACACAGCCAGATTTTGGAGAACGACAGTGATTTCTGGGAAGGATTTAACCTCTTCCTAGCAGCATTTCCATAGAGACAGGGATCCAGGAAGTGGGGCTTTGCCAGGAGAGAGAGGAGGAGGAGGGTTTTTGGCAGCCATAGAACAGATGGAAATCCCAGCCGTTGAGTTGGGCTCACACATCACACACAGAAACACTGCTGACATGTGACCACCTCTCAGGTCGCCCCACAGCTTAGTGTGCGGTTAGGCTCTCTGGCAGGAGACTCACAGACACAGGTCAGGGCTGAGCTGGTTGTTTGTTGAGAGCAGTTTTTCAGAAGTTGGACTGTTTTTTGACATGTCAGGGTTAGGTTTAGGGTGTCCCAGGCTACACTGTCTGAATTTAACGGCTGTTATTCTGAAAATACTTTATTTTGAGGAAACAAGTGGGATCCTCCTTTTTAAAGCTTCATCATCATGTATTCAAAGGCTAAAAATGCTTTGTGAAATGAAAACTGGGTTGTCTTCCTAATGACTTTTACTTTCATGTCATCCTGAGCAGACTGCTCTTTTTCTGCTTTAAATACAAATCTGTCTTGCAACCTTCATCACAATCTTAAACCCGGATGGATGGTTTTATTAGGTGTTGACAAGGCTGAAGCAAGTTTCAGGCGTGATTTACAACATACTCCACAGTAATATAATAAATGTGTATGTGATTTATGGCAACACAACGTTTCAAATGTTGTGGTGCACTTTGGTTGATTCTAACTTGGGACATGAGTGCACGGCAGAACCGCCCAGGTGTGGTGCTGTAATGTGAGAGCCAATAATAGCCAATTCATTCTCTGCTGAAGTTACAGGTATTGATTTATTGATGTTGTGATGGAGAGATCTGAGCATTGGGCCCCTGGAGTACACACACACACACACACACACACACACTCTTCTGCCTTGACTGTCTTTCTTCATTATAATAAATAAAGGTCAGAAGAAAAGAGAGATGGCGAGGAGAGGTTTCTACTGTCTCACTGCTGTATTGACTCTTCTTTAAAAATAGAAACTCTAGACAAACTTCTCTCTTCTGTCAAATGGTTCAAACTGTTTTTGAGGAGACAAACACAATAACTCTCTGATAAGCAAAGTGATCTGACTGTAGTAAAACTGTCAGTGTCTGTAGTTGTTTTGGTTTTCATATCAACAGTCCTGTTCAGAATGAGAGTAATTTCATACCTGAAGGGAATTTGACTTGGTCATTTTAAACTTAAATCAGGTCAAAATTATGTTTTCAAGAGCTTAAAAAATTGCATTTTAATAACAGATGTAGTCATAAGTGCCTTTAAGGTCCAGGGTTGAAAAATAGTTTATAAAAGACCAACACACACTAAAGAGACATTAAGAGACTTTATGTAATGGAATGGAACAAAATATCTATTTACAAAACAATCAGTTATGTTTAATCAGACATCTATTGTATATCAAACTAAATTTAAGGACTTTTGAGCTTTTTATCTGTTTATTATCTGACAGACTAACATGACTCCACACACCTCTGGTCCTGTAGTCGGGCCTCGGTGCTCTCTCTCTGGCCTCAGTTTGGGTCTCTGTCGTCTAGACGTGATGACTAACTGAACCCAGCTGTTTCTCTCCTCCTCCTCCTGATCGCTGCATTATTACTGTCGTGCTGTTACTGTGCATCACTCATGAGCCCTGTGATCATGCTGTAAGCACGTATTAAATTATACACTTTGTCTAAAACTCTCTCTCCCTCTCTCCTCCCCTCTCTGCTGCCTCCTTCTGACCTTGCTTCTTTCCCCTCCTCCACTGCTTTACATTGCTCTCTCCTTCCTCTTCCTCATCCTTCTCCTCCCTGCAGCCCTAAACTGCGATGGAGTCATCGGATGATGACACTCTAAGTGAGCGCTCCTGCGTCAGCGAGCCGTCCTTCCGTAGTGAGCGTTCGGGGGGGTCGTTGTCCCCGTGTTCATCAGGACATGCGGGGCTGCCAGGAGACACTTTGCCATGGAACCTGTCCAAACATGAGAGGAGGAAGAGGAAGAGCCAGGACTCGGTGCTGGACCCGGCAGAGAGAGCCGTGGTCCGTGTCGCAGGTAAGAGCAAAGCCTCAAACTGGCAGTAACCTGTAGTCATTTGTGTTTGGATACGTTCAGTGTGCTGCTGAGCTAGGGCGCATGTGATGCAGCTGCTCGGTGTTGATAGGCAGACAGCTGTGGTTGTTCTGGGAAGTTTCCTGTGGTGACTGTGTGGACCAGTATGGATGTGAAGTGGTGTCACTACAGTAGACGCCCGGTGCAAAATGGAGATAGGGAGTTACATGTCAGTCTGTCAAGCAGATGTGGAGGTGGAAACTGAAGGAGCCAAGCAGAACAACTTGTGTTAAAGTTCCCTCATTGGAGATGCCACTGCAGAGATCATGGGGAGGGAGACAGTCTGTGTGTACAGAAACTGACATTCACATGTATCTCTTAAAAAGCCAAGCTGAACAACTGCAGAAAAGTGAACATAAAAAAATAACCTGAACAAACAAAAACATAGCTTGTAAGTAAAGTGTTGAATAAAAGTCACTACACTTAACTTTTTATGTTACTGCAGAATCGGAGCCTGGACTCTTGTGGTGGCATTCATAAACTCCAAAACTGACTCCGAACAATGTGTTTGAAATGGCTCCACTACTTCTTAAAAGTGACTTCTGCAAGTAATTTGAATTGGTGAGAACAGGGAGATGGAAAACATTAACAGGGTAAATTAGCTGACATCAGCTTTTCATCCAGCATAAGACTAATTAAACCCAGACCTGAGCTGAGATGTGGAATCAGTGCTCGAGTCTGGTTAAAGACGGCTGGCATCGCTTTACTGTCCTGTAGTTTTTTTTTTTATTGGTGATGATCAAAACATACACACAGTAATGTCTCAGCACAAAACATTTCTACATTATAACTGTCCTGATCCGAGGGAGGATAAATAAGAATTTTTTAAAAGCAGAAATGCTAAAAGCAAATGGTCTTTTTTTGCACAACCAGTGAGGAGTGTCGGCAGATCAAATTTTGGTTGAATTGTACCGTGCATACATGTTTATATATACATTTGAATTCTTCTGCCATGGCCACTCGCAGACAGGAGGATCTTAGTGCAACTGGAAGTTTTTTTTAAATGCCGTGTAGTGGAAATTCAGAGTTTGTTTGCAAGTTGGGTTAGACACGAACAAAACAGACAACAGGTCTGAAAGGGGCAAGAAAAGAACATTTGAACATTATCTGCAGATATTAGAAAAGACAGATGGGGATTTTTCCTGGCAGCAGCTTTAGGCTGAGTCAGCGAGTCAGGCATGTTTGTGTGGAGAGCATTTGGTTGTGACGGCAGCAGGTAGTGGCCGAGTTGACTCTGGCACTGCCACAAACCACCAGGGGTTTAAACACAGACATCACCAGTCTCCACTTGTAAAGATTTCTGAAAGCTTCTGCTGTGTAGAGTCAGTACGACTGACATCATTAATAAGCACGCCTTCCTAAAATAAGAGCAATGAGCGGCACCCTCGCTTACAAAGCTACTCATTACTTCAAATTGGAACAGTTACATGCCTCCTCTCTGGTTTGTTATGCTTTTTCCCACAAATGTTTTTGGGGTTTAAGCCTTAGAGAAATGAAGATCTAGGTTTGATGTAATTTTTGAGGGCGCAATGAGCCCCCATGCCACTTCTCTCTTAGCACTTAGGAATCTTAAATCCTCTTGTGTCTCTTTTCATACAAGCTCACGTTTCTGGTAACATCCCAGGAGTGTCCAGAGCTCAGTCAGGCATCAAGGCCACACAGGTTACAGATCACCTACAATATCCAGAACGTGTGTTATAGTAAAAAAGGTTTATTGATTACCGATTAGAACGCTCACTATGAGGCCAGTAACAGAGGAAATGTTTATTACAGAAAGTCCTTAGATTCATGCAAGAGGAGGGAATGCTGCTTTGCTACCAGACAGTGGAAACACTGGGAGCTTTGTGAAGAGATGTTTTCAATTTACACTGGAGAGGCTGAAGAGAGCCGCTGCAGTCCTGACTGGACTCTGCTATTGAGACGGCTGTGCCTGCCCGCTGGGCACGAATGCCAGTGTTCCTGTGAGCCAGAGTTTCAGGATTCACCTTCTGAATTACTAATTAAGAGCGAGCCCTCAGTGTAGCTATGGAGAGAATTTAGTCTCAATACTGGTCACAAATGTGTGCAACCAATGAATGTGCATGAAGATTAGTGAGCACTCTGTTGTGTTCACAAATGCATTTTCAAATTCAGAGAAGAAGCAAACCCACACAGGCACGTGGAGAACATGCAAATCCACATGGAAAGGTCCCAGTCAGCTACGATGTTCAAATCTGCAGCCTTCCTGCTGTGAGGTGACAGTCAAACCACTGCGCCAAACTGAACACACAATGTAATGTTGAAAGACAAATTGAAACTCCACCTGAATGCACTGCAGTGCCGGGCGTTTGAGTCATGACAAGTATATTTGTCACCAGTAGTGAGACTCTTCCCTCCAGATACATGAACTGTAGGCAGAGATGTTAAACATAAAGCACAGTGAAATGTTTTAGACTTCGGTATATACAGTGGGTACGGAAAGTATTTAGACCCCCTTAAATTTTTCACTCTTTGTTATATTGCAGCCATATGCTAAAATCATTTAAGTTCATTTTTTTCCTCATTAATGTACACACAGCACCCCATATTGACAGAAAAACACAGAATTTTTGACATTTTTGCAGATTTATTAAAAAAGAAAAACTGAAATATCACATGGTCATAAGTATTCAGACCCTTTGCTCAGTATTTAGTAGAAGCACCCTTTGGAGCTAATACAGCCATGAGTCTTTTTGGGAATGATGCAACAAGTTTTCACACCTGCATTTGGGGATCCTCTGCCATTCCTCCTTGCAGATCCTCTCCAGTGCTGTCAGGTTGGATGGTAAACGTTGGTGGACAGCCATTTTCAGGTCTCTCCAGAGATGCTCAATGGGGTTTAAGTCAGGGCTCTGGCGGGACCATTCAAGAACAGTCACAGAGTTGTTGTGAAGCCACTCCTTCGTTATTTTAGCTGTGTGCTTAGGGTCATTGTCTCGTTGGAAGGTGAACCTTCGGCCCAGTCTGAGGTCCTGAGCACTCTGGAGAAGGTTTTCGTCCAGGATATCCCTGTACTTGGCCACATTCATCCTTCCCTCGATTGCAACCAGTCGTCCGGTCCCTGCAGCTGAAAAACACCCCCATAGCATGAGGCTGCCACCACCATGCTTCACTGTTGGGACTGTATTGGACAGGTGATGAGCAGTGCCTGGTTTTCTCCACACATACCGCTTAGAATTAAGGCCAAAAAGTTCTATCTTGGTCTCATCAGACCAGAGAATCTTATTTCTCACCATCTTGGAGTCCTTCAGGTGTTTTTTAGCAAACTCCATGCGGGCTTTCATGTGTCTTGCACTGAGGAGAGGCTTCCGTCGGGCCACTCTGCCATAAAGCCCCCGACTGGTGGAGGGCTGCAGTGAGGGTTGACTTTCTACAACTTTCTCCCATCTCCCGACTGCATCTCTGGAGCTCAGCCACAGTCATCTTTGGGTTCTTCTGTACCTCTCTCACCAAGGCTCTTCTCCCCCGATAGCTCAGTTTGGCCGGACGGCCAGCTCTAGGAAGGGTTCTGGTCGTCCCAAACGTCTTCCATTTAAGGATTATGGAGGCCACTGTGCTCTTAGGAACCTTAAGTGCAGCAGAAATTTTTTTTGTAACCTTGGCCAGATCTGTGCCTTGCCACAATTCTGTCTCTGAGCTCTTCAGGCAGTTCCTTTGATTTTTTAATAAATCTGCAAAAATGTCAAAAATTCTGTGTTTTTCTGTCAATATGGGGTGCTGTGTGTACATTGAGGAAAAAAATGAACTTAAATGATTTTAGCATATGGCTGCAATATAACAAAGAGTGAAAAATTTAAGGGGGTCTGAACACTTTCTGTACCCACTGTAAATGGTGTTGGCCATTTAACAACTTGTGCTTAATTGGCTTAATTAAAAAGATTAGCTATATCTGTGTGTGTGACTGCGGCAGTGATAATTTATGCACATGAACATCAGGACCCCAGATGTCTGTGCCTGCATGTAACTTAGGTGTCCGCCGTGCCGCCTGCTGCTCTCCATTCCATGTTTCCTTCTCTACAGGCAGCTGAAAGGAAGCCTAGGCCCAACGCCCAGGCTAGTCCCCTGTTGCCATGGCAATGCGGTCTCCTCTGTTTCCATGGTTATATAAGGCGATCAGAAGCAATGGCGGAGGGGGTGAGAGACTGACACTAGATATAAAAGGGGGCCAAAACAAATAGCGAAAGGCAGAGAGTGTCGGAATTTTAATTTGGAGCAGGAGAAAAGAGGAGGAATAAGTTTGTAAAGGAGAAGAGAGCAAGAGAGGAGTGAATAACTGAGTCAGTTTAAAAAGTAATGAAGAGAGGAGACAGAAATAGAGTCAGAGGACGAGAGGGGGAGGAGGTGAAGGGGATACAGAAGAGGTGGTGGAGGAAAAAGAGGGCAAGGTTCAAATAAGAGAGGAAAAGAAAGATGACTTTTGGCTGAAGACAAGGGTAAGAAAGAAGAGTTGGGATTGAACTGAGTTTGAGAAATAAAAAGAAATTCGAAGCCATGGAGGTAAACTGCAGCTGAGGTTGAAAGAGAGAGACCTAGACAAATGGAAAGAGACAGGGCAATACTAAAGGGAAGTAAAAAGAAGGTAAGATTGGTGTAAAGAAAGTTGCAGACGGGTGACAGATTAAAGGACAACCTGACATTCTCAGTAGGTGATGGGCCACAACGTGCCAGAACAGCTTCAGGACACCTTGGCGGTGACCTCCACCACGATCTTCAGCTTTGTTTACATGTTGATTTATTGGACTGTGGGTGTCACATTGATTCTTGACATCCATTCTGAGGCTGTTGTTGATGTTTTAACTACTAGTACACTGGCCTTTTGAGCTGTAGTTGCAGTTGTTTTCAGATGTTCTCTACAAAGAATGATCTAAAATTAGACCAAATAACGCACTAATCCAAATCTCTCATATCTCACAATAGATCTGATT